GAGACTTTGCTAAACCATGTAATATGTCTGAGATAAAATGCTTTAAGTAAGGCTATTTGAAAGGCATCTAGGAGTGGATAAAAGAGTGGATAGGCCCTTCCTAAGATTTACAGGAAGAGCATTCTCTTGCATTCGGATATTCCATTTTACAGATAGATTATTTTTTGTTAGTTTACAGAATGAGCAGCCAAAGCTCACACTTTGCACTTTTTTCTGTTATGCGGTCTCCCTTAAAAGTTATATCCTTGCCATAATATTGTCACGATCCTCATCCCTCCTCTTAAGGGCACTCCGTCCCTTTCGTATTTTAGTTGATTTCATGCACCTGTCCTGTTTGTCCGTCTTTATTTAGGGCGGGCACTCCCGCTATGCCTGGCTCAGCATAGAGATGGACGCCCGGAAGTCCAGGAGAGACCCGATGGCATAGGCTTCATCACAGTGTCCTGACCATCGGAGTCCGGGGCTCGGCGCGCCTGGCCTCGTTACCCTGGTTTCATTCCCTGTCCCTGTTCCGGATCTTAACCTCGTTTGTCTTGTCTTGGATGGATCACTGCGCCCCGGATTTCCCCCTTGGACTGTCTGGATCAGTTAGCCTTGGCCACGCCCCTGCGCACCGGATCACCGTCATCACGCCCCCCTGTCTGTCAATCCGCCCTGATCCTCTATGTCTCTTTCCTGTTGTCCTTCTCCACTTACTTCCGGATTATACCGTCTTCATAGGGTCCTGAACTACGCTTCAGACCGGCTGTCGTTACAAATACTTAACTATTCTAGGAAAAGCTACTGAAGAAAATATGTCTTTAATTTACCCAGAATTCTGCCCAGAAGTGTAATAAAGGGGTAGGGCATTAGCTTTGCTCACTAGTATAGCATTATGGTCGAGCACTTGGATACCTCCTTACATTTAGCTGCGAGATTTGCCAGAATCCCTTTGCATCAGCTTGAATATTTAGCATGGGAAATACAAGTAGCATAAATGTAATAAGTAGATAAATACATAACAAATGATAACATCTGGAAACAATGTACCACATTTTGTCTTACAGGTGATGAAGAGTTCCAGTAATTGCATGCTTTTTACTGTCTAGTTGACAGGTGGCAGTGCAAGTGACAATGCAGACCATTTCTTAGAGAAGTTCAGAGAAAGCAATATTAGATTTTGACAAAAAGGAGCTAAAGGCTAATCACTACTGCAGTAAATATCACTCGTCTTTTCAAGATCGTTAGAACACACCCTACACTGTTCACAAGTGTTAATGTTAATAAGATGTGGTCTTTCAGAATACCGTGGATAATATAAGTCTGTGTCTTTTTGCTAAAGTGGAGTACAGTCTGTAAATACAATTTAGTATGATGAAATTGATGTGATTTGAATTTTATTCAATATCATATTTCAACTATTATGCCACTGTAGCTCATTATATTTTTGAACTGTACATGCATTACTTGAGAGAATATATGATGTGCAATTCTTACAGGTGTCTTAAAAATATGTGCTGTGCAGTATTGTAATAGATTCTATCTAATATATAATCTATTGGTCCCTGGCTCTATGTGTTTGTGCTGGCTTGCAGTTTTTTAAAACGCATAATGTAATTCTGATAGCACTTAACACAACCATATCTTTAGAGAGTAAATCCTGTTTATAAAACCATGATTTCATTATATTCCAAAATAATGAACTCAGCAGGTATAGCATTTTTACCACAAAACAACGGAGACAATGGAGTCTTTTTTCTCATTAAAAACAGAACAAGAAATTTGACTTTTTAAGTACTATAAAAACTGTCTTTGCAGGTAAAATTTTCCCTCTTCAGTTCATCGACTGGTCAGGCTAATAATTGGCTAATAACTAATATTCCATTTTAAAAAGTATAACATTGAGCACCAGCAATGAAAGCCCCCTTCAACAAAAACAGTATAAAGATAGTTTTTTTTTTATTTTCTAAAATGATTAAATATCTATTCTGATAAAACTAATGCAATTAAATAAAACTATATATGCAGTGGCTTACAGAGCAATGAACCGCTAAATATATTTTATTCAATGTATTACATCTCTACAAGATAAAACAGCTCTATAATGAAAATGACTTATTTATGCATCCATCCATTTTCTAATCATTTCATCTATTTCAGGGCTGCAGGGGAGCAAGGCACAAGGCAGGGTACACACCGGACACGCACACACTCACACCGGGGCCTGTTTTCCAATTAACCCACCAGTATGAATTTTTTCGTACTGTGGGAAGCAACTGGAGCGCTTGAAGGAAACCCAGGAGAACATGGGGAGAACATACAAACTCCATGGAGACAGCAGGCCCAGAAATTGAACCCAGCACCCCAGCCCACTGAGGCAGCAATGTCAACCTCTGTGCTGCCCAGAAGAGAGAATATTTGAGAGGAAAAAAAAAGATTTTAAATAATAAAACAGCAATGCGAATCCCCTTGCTACACCAGATTCATTTCTGGCTTAATTAATGATACTCTCACTACTGACAGGACTATGACAGGTACGGCAAACCTGAGCACTGAATTTGGCCTTTTAATTTGTTCCTTACTTACATTTCATTATCTTATTTTCTTGTAAGGCAATGTTATGTAAATTATGAATAGCCTGATCACTTTGTATAATAATGCACAGAATTACAAATTCAAGCTATTCATCAAGAAGGGTGAGCATTATTAATGTAACCTATTTTGTTTATAATTAAATGCCACCTAACAAAAATGGATGACCAAAGCTGTCCTCTTAAGTAACAAAGCAGAATTTTGTCCTTACTTTGTCCTTACTCTTATTTAGTCCTGCTAACTCTGAATAATTTATAGTATTTCCAGATTTACGCGATTCTTTCACCTGTTAAATTCTTCACAAGCTAACAATGTTGAACAGAGAAAAACAATCTAACAAAATCAATACGAAATATCATTTTTTATAATTCTGGTTTCAAATTTTGAAAGGCCACCTGTACTGTAAAATACCACAATGGGCATTTTATCTTCTTTCTAATTTTGGTTCCTCTATTTATCCCAGGCCATGTGTTTAATTAAAGTGCAGTAATGATTAATCTGCAAATAAACAAACAAATCTCCCCAGATGGTTACTTCAGATGGTCAGTGAAATGCAGAGCACAGAACTACGCCTGCACTCCACCCTCACACTACTGCTGGCCAATGACTAGGAGGAGGGGCTGGTGACAGGATAACCAGATGTTGTGTACTGTGGTAGATAAGCCCTTATTGAGAGCATGCAGCAGAATTGTAAATCAGACTGTTTATTATTTTAATTATGAATCACTTGAGGAGCACTGAAAAGAGAAGAAACTGCAGTGGTCGTTTAAGAGTAAGAGCCTGTCAAAGCTCTTACTCTTTTGGTTTCTGTTTTTTTATGTTAGTCTTTGGCCCGTAACCTTTAAGCTCAACCTTCTGATTGAAAAATGGATAGAACTGTCCCACATTATTATGTTATATTTGATCATTACCCAGTAGATTAACAGATCATTGCTCAATTAGACTTAGGCAGGGGTGCTCAGTCCTGGTCCTAGAAGGCTGGAGTTGTCTGCAGGTTTCCTCGGGTTTTTAATGCACAAGAAGAGCTGTAACATTTGTGCAATTAAGCAAATAATGAGCTGGTTTAGATCATTAAGCTGAACTTGAAGAAGAGTCACTGACCCCCCCAGGACACTCCCTGATCTCCACAGGGTTCCACATTTTCATTTTACTTTCCATCATGTGATGTCCTTTGAAAGTCACCTCCAGCTGAGTGAATTTCCAAATTCAAACACTAAAATCTGTTAAATTAAAGAAGGTGAGATTCTTTTCACTTAATTGATAAGCATTCTACCTCATTAGTCCCTCAAGCAGATTTTTTTCAGTTGATATTCACCATCAATTCTTGAGCCTGTTTAGTTTGTGATTTTGTGTTTTAGTTGATTCATCTTTAAGTGTATTCATATATCCAGCAGATGGCTGAACAATTATCTTTGTCAGCAGGAGAACACTAAGACAACTATTCTTTTCAAAAGAAAGCAGATGCACAATTATCACAAGCAGACCTAGAATGTTTAAACTTATCATGGTTGATATTAAGAATTCGAATAAGAAAAAAATCCTTTTAAACTCAAAGAAGGCAATACATTTATTCAAAATTCCTGCAGAACGTATTTATTTATTTATCCCTTTATATTGAATGAGATAAATAAATGTCAAGGTACCTCTCGAAACAATGAAAGAAACCAATTATCTTGTGTTAAAAAACAAAAGAAAATATAACAAGATCTCCCACTTTAATATACTCTGGATTCCGAATGGTTACTTTATGTGCATTACTGTTTCAGCAGTGAGTTATCTGATATCAAGTCATCTGATGATTCAAATATTCAAAAAGTGAATCTACTAGTAAAGTAAGGAAGAATTTACTCTCTTGCACCTTCACAATTTCAAACTTATTGACATTTGAGGGGGAAGATCTGAGCATCCGTTGTATAGTTCAGAAGGAAATGGTTGCTGTTTGTAACCTCACAAAAAATTGTGATCAAAGAAAAGCATGCATTGCCATTAAGTTCTGCTATCCTCATCAAACTGTATGCCAAGGTGAAGAGATATACAGTATATACACATGGACCGTTGACCGTAAAATGGGAATATGCAGCAAAAACACGGTACCCCACCAAGGGGGTAACAGCTACACCAACTCGATGCATTTTATGGCCTTGGCATGGTGTATATACACTTTCTGTAGAAATGCATCAACAAAGTAATTTCCCATCATTCATGCATTTCTTTGTGTTTACCCAACATAAATAATGGAAAACTCTGAATAGTTTGAGATTCTTAAGCTCTCATTCAGTATGGCTTCTGAGACAGAAAAAAGACAACAGAAAACAGGTATGGGAAAAAAACAAACAAGAAAACAAATAAAAAACAGAAATATATGCACCATGGCATCAGTCTGAGACCGAAAATGCACAAAGTTAAAGGTACTAGGGGTGGAAACCAACCTTGGAGAAATATCGCATCCTTGCTGCATAAAGGCCCCCAGGGAGAACCAGAGACTGTTAAAAATCCCAAACTCGTTGGTTTGCTCCTGATTCTGCTGCTGCTGTTGTTGGTGCTGTTGCTGTTGTTGTTGGGGCGGGTCCTGTCCGTCTTCAAAGTCCTCTGCATGCCACTCATATGGGCTAAACCGGCTCACCAGGAAGAGCACAACGCTGACACCAATGTAGGCGAACACGATACACATCCAGATCTCGTAGGCCAAGGGATCCAGGAACGAAAATACTCCAGGCTTGGATTTCTGAGGCTTCTTGATCATGATTGAAATGCCCAGGCTCATGAAAGGCTTGGAGAAGTCGATGACCTCTTCCCTGACTAATGTAATCGTCAGGGGCGCCACAGCCACATCTGCTTTCTGGAGGGCAAAACAAAATCAGAACTGTCAACAAAGTCACATATACTGTAGGTGCTCAGTACTCAGCAAACTTGAAAGTTGGGTATACTGTATAACAGCACAGCAAATAATAGAAAGTATATCAGCATTAACAATATGTGTATTGATTATTTCATTTCCTGCTGAGATTCTGTTCTCTGGAAACAATTTGAATAACAACTTTGTGGTAAAATCAGGAATATAACCATTTACAGCTGTGGGCAAACGCTTCAAATCCCACTAAAATTCTAACCCACTTGGAAAAATGTATGCAGTAAGAACATCCTATACTTCAGATAGATTTTGTTCTGAAGTCCTGTAATTTTAACTACTTTACATTAATAATAGCTGTGCAAACTATCAAAATTGTAATTGATAGAAATTCTGAAAAAATAATATGGTCCTTTCAATCATTCCCCACCACTGTATATTTTACTTTAATATTCTTTGTTCTAAGACTTATTATATTTAAGACCTGAAATAAAAGTTAACACTAATCTTCATGTTGACAAATACATTTCATATTTTAGGCAAAATTAAAAAACAACCAAAAGTTTTGTTTTATACATTTAGCACATTCATACAGACATTTAATGTCCCCTCTCAATTCACTGAAGTCAGACAGGCTCTAGATAATAAATGTTATGATGTTTGTTGATATTTATATTTTGTTCTTGAATACTTCATTATTTGAAGTGCTTTTTTTATCATCATAGTAGCTCTGTTTGTTGAATTAATGTTTTATTTCATTATTAATTTATTGCAACTGCAAAGACTAGGAATTAAAATTTCTAGTTTAACTGCCCTTCTAATATGCAAAATGTGTAAGATTATAAAGGTCATCTGTCATAACTGAGAGAATGTTCCCATAGTGACTACGCTTCGCAAAACACAGGACAAATTAGTATTTTTACTAATCAGACATGAGCATGCAGCATCGGAGCTAGTAATCTGTAAGTATTTCAATATTTTCCAAATAAAATATTAAAGCGTAATGATCACTGTAACAGAATGAATGATTTACCAAATGAACATCAATGGCATTGAGCTGACTGAATGATTCAGTATTCAGTATATCCTGCCTTTGAATGCCTGCTTCCATCAAACATGAAATTGAAACATGAATGCTATCTACAAGAACGATGGAGTTATTGTAAAATAAAAAGCAGAAGTGGATGTGCTTCCAAAGAAATCTGAAAATTTCCACTTGATCATGTTTACACTTCATTGGCTACATTCATATCATTATAATTTTTTTATGCATGGTTTGGAATTATGGGACTTATTGTACTGTAATACAGTACATAATTTCTGAAATCAATCTGTTTCCAACAATGTAAATGACTTCTATATGCTTATCTGTCTAATATTGTGTAGCAATTTATTTATTAATTGTAACGATTTATTACGATTTTAATTTTTTTAAGCTTTTTTCGTTCCATTTATTTAGTCTTTTTTCTGTCTAACTTACGATAGCCAACTGTTCCTTTACAAAAAGCTATAAAGGGGAAGAGGAGAAGAAGCATGGACAGAAATGCTCTTCTGCCTTGCCCACTCAGAGAGCCATTCATCTTTTGATGCAATGCAGCCTCTGCTGTGCTTGACCAGAGATCGGGCAGTTTGTGCCAACTGGAGGACTGGCGCCTCTCTCACTGCCTTCACTGTGAGACCGCAGGTGCCAGGGGAGTCTCAGGAGTAGCTGTTTGCAAGAGAGCCAAGACAACCAGTCTACTACTGTACCTCATCCCTGTCATGCTCAGATGATCATCTACTAATTCTGTCCTCAAACTTGTGCCCATATCCAGTCCCAAATAGCAAACAGATGCAGGCTTGAATTTGATTTGTACAGGTAGCTTTGAAAGAGTGTGCATGAGCAACATTTTGTACAATCCATATACTGTATCCATTATCTACTATACACAAAATATATCAATGTTATTCAATGTCAGTGTTGTGAAACCTTGATATTAGTGCAGAATTTGTGACCAATGTACTTTTTCTTAACATTAACATTTGCTGACAAACTCTAAAGGTCCTGGACTTAGTTACACCACACAAAGGCTTTTCTAATAATGTTTGACATATATTTTCACATACTGCAATCTCTACATGACTATAGGAAGGTCTTTTATCAACACAAGTGTTTTATGATTTTGACATGTTTCAACTTGTCCGCAGTTTAGCTGTGAGATACTGTATCTGACAGGCACACTGGATTTGTTCTCTAAATATATTTCATCAAGGACATTCAGGACTTCCTTTTTGGTGTACATTTTTTTGAAAAACCAGAATAGATTTCTAATCAACACAAAATTCTCTTCTAGGTTTTTTTTATTGTTTTCCCTTGATCTTTTAGAAGCTTTATTTCCCCACTATATATCTTGCATGCATGGGGGATAATTCAATTGCTCGTGGAAATGATCTGTGTTCAATTAAATTTGGGTTTAATTATGTTATTAATATCATTTCATATATACGGTAGAATATACTGTAGCAAAGAGCTCCTGCAAATTTTTTAAGCTCTGCTTTGTAGACGGCTATCAAAAATTTAATTTTTATCTTCAAAAGTATTCTTCATTTCCCTGGACTGTGTTGCGCAGTCATACTAAAAATATTCCATGCCATTTAATTAGAAAGACCCTTGCTGTTTGGAATATGTATTCTCACTGTACATCCATCTTCTTTGTTTAAAGCTAAATTTAAAACAAGGATTTCTAACACACTGCTTGAAAATGAAGGCTTACTTCAATGGTATTGCAATCAATACCAAAAATGTGTGAAATTCTTTATACAGTATTTTGCTACACTGGTTCACTAACGAAACACCAACAAAGATAACCAGGTTTACTTATTTTAAACAGATTTCAAACCAATAAAATGTGAAAAACAAAAACATAGATTAAAGGGTCATGATACATTTTCAATATAAATGCTGACACAATAACAGTAAAATGATGTCAGGTATCAACAACCTCAAGCATTAACACAATCCTGGCAGCACAGACATACAAATGTGACCTGCCTACAGTATGGGCAGAATGCTGTAGGATCTCGACTCCTCATTCTGTACAGCAGCAAGAAACTGAATTTTTGTCAAATACATTTGCCTGAAGTAAAGTTACACAGAATAAAAGAAGACACTTACACCATAGACTAACTCTCCCACCATTCCATTCCACATTTTTGTTTCCGGGTCTCTTGCTCCATATTTTCCATCTGATACAATCTCCAGTTTGTACCTGTACCCCACATGTTTAGCAATTTCAGCTGCCAGCTCAACACAGTAGCCTTCATACTTCTCATTGCCTGTTAACTGGTCATGGTTTTTCTTCAGCATCACATATGGAGATTCCTAAGCAAAAGAGAAAATGAAAACATACAAAACAATGAGAACTTTTATGGGAGTAAATCTTGCTTTTGTTTACAGATTGCAGTTTGAGTTCTCTGTCTTGATATCTGTTGACAGTGGACATCTTGGGATGATTTCATTATTTCATGTTATTTCAATTATTTCAAATGCACTGTCAGGCATGCCATCTTACAATTTTAAGTGGCCTGTCCCTCCTCTTATATATTCTTTTGGACCCCCTTCAGGATCCTAATTCTTACTCATTAACCCCCTTTCAGTGGTCTCCACAGGAGTCTTGACTCCCACGCATCTGTCTTGACTCACGACTGCACTTGGGCATTCAAATCGACTACCTCTGTGTCACCCAGTTCTCTTTCTAAATTTTCTCACTAATTCTAAAAATATTACACATTCTTTCTCTTCAAGACTCCTTTCACATAGTTAGCAGACCATTCTGATCTTTCAGTAGCTCTTCATTACCAGCTTTAATAACTCTCCTGGCTAATCCTGTTTGGCCAGAGACATCTCTCTATACAAAGCACAACCTTCTCTTTCCTCTCTTTTGGAGATGGCCCATCCGTCTGCTGCTCTTGAGACTCAAGACTCTGATGACCTGTGCTATCTAGATTCCTCTCTCAGCTGTGAGGTGAAGACACACTGCAATCCCTCAGGATAGCGCAAGCTGTATCTTCCTGAAGCCTTCTCAGCTTGCTGAGTCCCCACAGGCTTGTTGCCAGTCCTGGTATTGTAAGCTAGTCTCCTGGATCTCTCACTCTCTCTCCTTCTAGCTTGGAGACTAGATGTCGACTGAAACCCTCTTCCTCCTAAATGGTCCTAGAAGCCTTTTAATCAGCCCAGAAAAGAGGCTAATTCCATGTAGAGTCTATCTTGACTTCATTTCCCTCATGTAGAATGCCACTGCCTCTGACTAACAAAGATCCCCTCAGACCACCTGTGCCTCATACTACAGGTTACCACTTAACATTTAAAACCAAGGACAACTCCCACTACATCACACAGATGTAACCACACGATTGTATCTATCAGTAAGTTATTTAATCTGTCTTGGCAAGACACAGCCTTATTTAGAAGCAATGGGCATTCAAATACCTTCGTCTTGGAAAATTGTATTTAGCCAATAAAATGTATGTCTTTCCCAAACCATAACCCCACCCGCCTTTCCCCTTCACCAGGGCAGACATCGATGCGGTTACTGTTCAGTAAAAAAGGGTGATGGAGACTTTGGAAATGTCAGCAGAAAAAGTTCTGACTGAACAGAGTGCAGTGCTTATGATCCAGTAACACAAGATTCACACTTGTAACTGTATGTTCAATTCAAATTGTAGAAGAACATCCTTTGTTTCATCAATCACACAGATTCAATGCATCAATGGCTGAAGATCAAAAGTAGAGGAAGGCTTCTTTGTTTTATTTTTTTATTAGAAAATGTCGCTTTTTATTGCTTCAAATATAGCATCAGGCTTTGCAGTCGATGGAAACTCTTGCTTGCGCTCAGCGGCAAGGGGACTATGAAGCTGCAGAAAAGGTCACTACTACAGACACGAGCTCAATATCTATCCCCAGGCAAGCCAGCTCTAAATGGGATCCCAATGGAGAAATCGCTGAAACTTAATGGTGATATGAAGAACACCTGCCACTTCAGTTACTGCAGGGGTACTTCATAGCCCATCAACACACACTGCTGCCGACCTCAAGATGTGCTGATTTATTTATTTTTTACCCTGTGAGAGTTCACAAGGACAGAGGGGAGCAAATATCCTGCGATGCTTTAGTATTAGGTTACTTCTATCGACAGGCATTCAATAAGGTAGATTTCTCCACAGAAGGGCTCACACCAAGCGCTGTAGAATCCTGTATCTTACGAAAAACGTATTCGGAAAAGAAATAAGTATTTACAAGGCCATGACAATAACTGGTTCATGAATAGTACCACTGGTCCCCATTTATGTGAATCCATACATATCTACAATCATTTATAGCTCACTACCAAAGACCAGAAGAAAAGAATAATGCTGGATCAAGCAACAGTCACAAAATCTTTTTGACCTTTCAAAAGAGACCACAGGTTTTTACAGCAATGAAGATTACTTGGGGTTAGATTCCTGAGCAATGATAACATTTGCTTCTTTCCAATAGTTTTTGCACCTGTTTTGATTCTAAGCATACAGGTCATTCTGTTCCTGAAAGAAGCACACTGCAACTGCAGACAAGCAACGTCATTAAATCAGCAGGCACATTTCACGGCACTGAGTGAACCACAGCTGCTGACTATTACTGGGTTAAAAACGCCAACATTAAGCTTTTCATGTTCCTTCATAACAGGAGGAGTGGGCAGTAGAAGTTTTTATTTTAAACAAAATGTCCACCTGACCTTCAGAAACATTTGAATGTGGTAATAACAACTCTAAATTTTGTTTAATCCCTTAGGAATATAAAATATACTGTATACAGAACATATGTTTCAAAATATAGTAGGAAAACAAATAGGTACTTTTAGGTATTTAATAATACAGTGTAGCATACTGTATTTCTGGGACGTATAGCTAATTATTGCCAACTGTATGTACAAAAAACATTTAGAAAATGGAAGTGTATTATTATTATACTTCTGCATTAAGAATATAATAATCTAACTTTTTTAAATATGAGTACATTGATAGTTAGAGCTTTACATGAAAGAATATACAGTAATATTCATGTATTCCTCAGTACAATCTCATTAGTTTTAAGTATCATAGGTTAATTTTACAATCGGTTAACGTAGCACCACAGTACTGTTGAACCTAAAACTTTGCAGCAAACCAAAATAATCCACAATTAACAAGTAAGAAGAATGGACTAGTAACATTTTGGTTTTTTTATTGTGTTTTTGGATGCATGAGTTTTTAAAGCTTCGCGTTTAGAATATTACACATAATGGCAAATGAATATCTTGATAAAAACTTACCAGAATTGTAGTCACTATATAAGTCCTGTTTTGCAATCCTGTAGTATCATTTCCCGCGTGGGAATATGAAGCAGTGCTCACATAACCTTCATCTTCATTCCAGTAACCAACCTGCAGACAGAAAAACAGGAACCAGCTTGCTTGTAATTAAACTTCTCTTTAGTCCATTTATGATAAGACTGCTAAAATATTCAGGATCTACTTTTACAGTAGAAATCATTATATGATCTACAGTACATGTCTGACTGCACTGTATTTTATTAGTTTATGCTGAGATGGACTGACATCCTACAGTATCTGATACCTATACTTCTGTGATAGGCTATGGGTCATCCTGACACTGATAATGAATAGATGATTATTACTTTCCATATAACTGCAGAGTTATATTTGCATATATATATATATCTTTTAGTACCATTACTCATCACACTACTACTGGTTCATGTTCACCTCCGTATAAAAACATCTGCTTTCCACATTTGCACACCACATACTGTATTTACAGCTAGCCACCGAATTCTGATTTTGTAACTGTTCCATATCCAGTCACTTCACAACAAAGCATTAATTCATCACCGGTACGCATGCTTCAATCACACACACCACTCAAACCCTTCTGCAATAGCACAAACAGCTTTGACATTTTGGATTTCTTTCATGTGAGCATCTTTGGCAGGCCAGGAAACAACTCCCGCAAGACCAGTGCTGAGTGACTCTCAGCCATTAGTGAAGCAAGTGATCCAACAAAGCCCTTCGGTAGATACAAGCCAAGCATCATCGGAAATCTTTTGGGTATTTCACCCACATTACAGACAGAGCAGAACAATAAAGCTTTTGGCCCATAAAAGCACTCTCAGGGTAATGTAACATTCTACTTACTTACAGTGTACATGTAAATTTGAAATTTTGCAAGATATACAGCTTTATTTCTTTTCCTTTGAATTCTTTAGTGTGCACAGGATATGCTTTAGAGCCCAATATCTCCCTTATCAATGAAAGCTCAGGAATAAAAATACTGCCACCATGGTTTCAATACTTACTTTCTTGGGTCGATTTGGTCCTAGTTCCATTACACCAACGGTATAATTAGTGCGACGTCCTTTCTCATTGAACTGAACGTGTCCAGTCATGCCCTCTAGTCTAACCTGCAATTAGAGGCGGAATACAAGACTACTATTCACATTTCATGTCTGTGCATTAAAACAGCCGATGCATAGAATCACAGTCCATCCCCCCATTTCCTGGTGAGGATTGCTTCAAGTACTGTACATATCCTGCTATAGGATTGGATTGGTAAGATTCTAGATGGGATATCAGTGCATTTCAGCGCAATGGAAACCCAAGTCCTGTACCAGACAAGGCATTAATCCATCGCATGGCTCACACAGGGTAATTTAGAGTTGCTAATTAACTTGGATGGTGTGTCTTTGGATTGTTGGAATAAACTAAAGCACCTGGAGAGAACACAGGAGGTGCCCCAGACTGGAATCGCTCACACCACCATTTTGCTCCACATTAATAATTCCAAATGAGAAAACATCACTAAAAATAGCCAGCGAAACAGAATGAAAATCCTTCATTTTGCATTGTGAATATTTGTGTTGCTTATAGTGCTTTCGACATGAAAGTATACATAGCCATTTGCCTTTTTAAAAGGTCTTGCAGGGAAAAGGCAAAGCTGACACAAATTCACTTTGATTCACACTTTAATGCATTTAGTGCATTGCTTTGGGAACAAAGTCTTTCAGAATTAGAGGGCAACTCTGAATCTGTTCCCGTATTCTGGAATTATTCTGTAGTTATATACTGTATATTGCAGTCTTTTTAATGAAATATTTCAGGTCTCAACTACCATGTGAAATGGGCATTTCATTTGTTCCATTTCCATTAATATTGTCAATAAGAGCGGATAATAAATGCTTTGAGTGGAGTGTGGAGAAACGCTATATAAGTGTAAGGAATTATTATTATGAAGTTATTATAAATGCAATTTGTCACTATTGACCTAAGTTCTGTGAAAAAATGTTTCACATTTCCATGCATCCATCCATTTCCGGAACCACTTTCTCCAATTCAGGGAGCCGGAGCCCACCCCAGCAAGCAATGGGCAGCCTCTGCCATCCTGGGGCCCTGGGTTCAATTCCAGACCTGGGGGGGGGGGCTGTCTGTGTGGAATTTGTCCGTTCTCGCTGTGTTCTTGAGGGTTTCCTCTGAGTGGTCTAGTGTCCTCCCACAGTCCCCAGCCGTACTGGCAGGAATGTGCTGGTGAATGTCTGTATCTGCGTCCTGCGACGGACTGGCGTCCAGGATGTACCCTGCCATGCTTACCAAGACAGGCCCCAGCTCCCCCACCACCCTGAACTGGATGAAGCGGTTAGCAAATGGATGGCAGGGAGAGTGAAAGACGTTCGCGTCTGGTCTTTCATCAGTGAGACAGTGAGACAGTGAGGAGGTGCCTCTACCTGTTGCAGTGCTCGCTGGATGTCAATCCCTTGTCCCCATGGAGCCGGGGGATTGGCTAGACAGTCGCCAGCGTTCCCTCTCCGAGAAATATCAATCCGCTGCTTCCGCAGGTTTTGAAAGGCAGCTGACATGACACTCACACCATCATAGGTAAGAGCTCCTGTGTACTGTAAAACACCACATGTTGGACATTGATAAAAATGAATAAATATCAATAAATAGAACATGATATAAATCAATTTATGCCAAGTGTCTTGAGGAAGAGGCCCTGAGTTCGTTGGGTGTTAGTTATTTGCTATTATGTACTTACTTGACATCGTTATCCAAGATGACATGTAAAATATAGTCACAGCTTGTTAAATAAACAATTATAATTTCACTGTACAAATAATTTCCCCTTCTAGCATGTGGAAACACTGAGATTGCTCAATTCCACTTAAAACAAGAGTAAAAATGAATATATTTAAGAATGTAAAGACATACATGATGCATTATAGTTTAATCTTAAAAATAAAACTGTTATAATTAAAAATGTTAATTATTATGGGTTCCTTTTTGGCTACTATTTGGGAGATCATACATGTTGTATGATTAGCTGCATTTTACTTTCAATACTGAATAAAAAAACACTAAATCTTATCCTTATAACCTTTATAAATCACTTAATTTTTGTGTTCTTTTTTTAGAAATGCTGTTTCAGAAAAGAAAGGGTATGTGTGTAGTCCTCTATGAAAAGATTTGAAGAACACTTTCGCAAAGCAGAATAATGTCAGCACGTTGCTTGTTCCTTGTCAAAGAGCAGGACCAGCTGGCTGATGGGTAACAACACTCTCTTATGGACTTTTCCCCACAGGCTTTGTTCACACTGAAAAGGTCACAGAACTCCTCCTTGCCTTCAGCCTTTTCTTGGGACTCTTTGTATCTTTGCTATCAAAATCCATCCATTGCTGAACGATTCTGCTGACATTTTGGTCTGTGTAGTTCACCAGCTGAAAGCCAGTCACATTGGCTCCTCCATTTCTGAATTCAGTCAGATCAATATCCAGAAATCCCTGTGTAACATGGAAAAGATAAACACGGACACATTAAACTGAAAAAAAGAGTTACCTTGAAGAAAGTTATTTTTTGTCCAATGGAAAAATGTATGTAAGCAATCCAAAGAGATTTTAAACATGTCAATGCTTTGTCGCAGTTCACAAAGCTTATTTTTGGCAGCACAGACTCGTTTTTTTTCAGCTATGAAATTTGCACTTTTCAATAACCCAGCTACTGTTAACATCGCTTTTCTAATGCCAACATGAGAATGACATAAGCTGCCCCCACCACCTGTTTGACAAATTCCTCTGTAGATCATTGCAAAATGCATTTGATGGGGAAATGTATAAACAAAGTGTTCAGGAAATTTCAGCAAAGAACCCCAGGCCATCAGAACTTCTTTTCTGTGTGGGATGCATTGCTGCGCTGAGTACAACACCTCCACTGAGACATAATTGCAGTTAATTCCCTGAAGCATTTTGGAATCAATAGCGATATCAGTTCAGCATTCTAAAGATGAACACTCAGAAAACAAGGACAAATGCTGTGTGGAATTTAAAAAGAGCAGCATTTTGACATAGCACCTTGAAAATGCTACTTAATGGTTCTTAAAATTTCTGAGATTAGGTTTTCAAATATTATCGCCTTCGAAAGCTTTTGTCTGTTATGATCAGCACAGATCTATGTTTTTGCTAACAGCCCCTTTTTACAAAACTAAAAAAAAAAGAATGCTAATTTCCAGAAGCATCCTGCATTTAGTCAATGTGACTATCCTTAAAATGTCTGGTTTTGCTGTACCTAATGCCAATAAGTAATCAAATCCATACATCTTTCACTAAAATATTTTTCCCTTGTACCTAAAATCTTACCTATGCCTGAATGTTTCATACCACAAAGTTGTTTTGCTCTTTTGTATACGAGACACATTAAGTGGAGATGAAGTTATGTGTCATCCTATCCAATATACTGCCTTAACTAGATAATCTTTCACACATTGGTAAGTTATGCTGTTCTTGCGTATATATCATATAAGCTCTGTCTGTGTAATCCTTCAAGATGCTACTGCTTTGCATCCTAATGAATCCTAGTGAGTTCTCACTAGCCTAAAGCTGCGATGTATTGCTAAATTTGAGGTCTGCACAGCCGGGGGTGTAAGTAGATTATTCCCCACTGCTGCTTGCTCATCAATAGGCGAAGGCAGACTAATGATCCCATTTCAATCTTCACCCCACACACTCTCTATAGGACAGTGAACTCGCTGACAGGGATTTGTGAGAAATGTAATGTGGGAGGAAGGTTGCGAGTTAAACCAAAACATGTTTAACAATTTAAAAATTAAACCAGATGTTTGAAAGGATTTGACTTTATTCTCCAAAGATGTTATTTTCTCTTTTACTTTTTCTGTTCTACATTTCTTATTCCTTACACCAACTGTCTGCACTCCTAGTTTCTCCTGAAGCTCTGTATGGCCTTCTGCTATCACATTCTCCGGATTTGTTTTGTGTGCTTTCCTTGTTGACTTTAAGAGATCTCCCATCTCCTTTGTTCCTTTGCCACCTGAGCCTTATGGCCAGTGCGCATATGGTAGGACTTCTTGCTCGGACTTTGAGAGAATCGGAGATAATGCAACACAAGTGATATTGCTGATTTTCAAAGAATGCAAGAGGCACAAGGAAGGATGTTCCAAAGAGAATATGAACTCTTCCAAAAACACCTGCAGGCTACACATTTAACATCTGCCAAATTCAGAAACAATACAGAAATGAAGTATACATACAAGATGTAGCATACTATTTTAGAAAACACATAAAATGCAGGTAACTATTTGAAAACCTTATATTTAGTTGACTAGCAAAAACTTCATCTATTACATTGCCCTCACAGCAGATTAACAGTTAACAATTACTTTGTAAAAATCATTAAATCTAAAACACATCGGAGACTGAATGTAAATATAAATGAGCAATCTCAGAGATTTGTTTCATTTTAATGTGCTGTGTATTTATGGACTGCCACTAGGTTGCAGTCCTGTCTAACTGTGAAGCATTCTTCTCTGTAATTCATATAGGCAATCAGAGATGTCCACAGATTTCCTTAAATTGCAGATTCTAGCAAAATGTCCTGTTAACAGTTTAGTGAAGCACTGTTGCAGGAAATGCTTCCCTATTTTGTAGTTGTTGGGGATTTAATAACAGCATTTAGGAACTTCACTGAAACTACAGCAAGTGATATACATACGGTATTTACCAAATAATACATAATTATTTTATGTAAAAGAAATTTTCATTTTCTTTCCACTATGGAGCGCTACCTTTCACTATGCCTTCACACTATTCTCAAGACTAATGTGAAACATGATTTCCACAGCTTTTACGTTCTAAACTGGGCTCGTTTTGTGAAGGTCTCCACAATAGCAAATAAGCATCATTATACTACAGTGCATTGCCATTTAAACCTCCTAAATCCATGCTTTGCTATGGAGCTACATCCTACAATGCACTTTCAAACTTTGAGCAATGGGATTTTTACACCCAAATTGGATTAGGTTTTGTACTTTATATGTTTGAATAAGAAATCGGAACAGCTTTCATCAGGATTTTTGAGAGATTGTTAGATTGAAATTTAAATCCCCATTTTAGATTGTTATAGTTGAGAGATTAAAAAAATCGGGGTACACTGAACAATAACATAGTTACTGTATTTTACTCATAATATCTGTGGTGACTGGTTGTACCTCATCTTAAAATATAGTTGTATTTTAATATGAATAGCATACAGAAATGCACAAAATAACAAGAGTACATGCTACATAGCACAAATGTGCCCCAGTCAGGATGAAATCAGCCTGTATTTAATGTTTTTACTACTAGCTAATTAACAACATTAGATTTTAGTTGTCTTATTAATATCACACAACAATAATAGAGTATAATTGTGTTTTTTCCACAAAATCAAATGTGATATGAGATAAATATCTATGCATTCCACATCTAAGTAGTGGAAAGTAAGGTTCTTTAATATAATATAAAAATACATACTAAAATTCCTCAGGTTTGATGTGAAAATGGACTCTTTTATAGCTATGCCTCCCTACAAGACACACCAAAACAACTCAGGCTTTCTTTCTTTCTTCTGTGCATTGTCTTAATTCTAATTAAACCATTAATGAACTGACTCTACTGCATACAGTTTCAAACTATTAAACAGGCATGCCAATTACTGTAAGCATTGTAATTTTAAAACCTTTTCATTTCACATTGTTAACTAAATCACCTCGCCACTACATCCTCGGTACTCAGCCCAATATAACTCATGTAGCCCTGGCAGTGCCCAGCCAGGTGTGGTTGGCAATATGACCCTTTTATGGAGTCAGAGGGGCTCTGCCATCCTTTAAGGGCACAAGGGGACTGATTAATTGTCATCCAGAGGGAGTGAGATTCCACATGAGAGAGAGGGGCAGATAGGATAGGCTCTGTGTTGAACTGGCGGCTCTCCTGGACTAGTAGGAAGGAGAATACTCAACAGCCAGGAAGAAAAGCATTTAAGTCTGCATCTAGACTGCAGCATGCAAGGAAGGAATGGGAGAGAGAGAGCTCTGGAGGGGGATCCCAGTAGCCATGGGCTCAGCTGACCTGTAGCCTTGTGGCCACTCAATGAGCAATAGTTGCATACAGAGGTTCACCAGATGTGCTGGAGAGGAGGGCTGCGTGATAGTTAGTTTGTCAGGCTCAACAGTGCTGGCCAGGTGAACCAGGGGTGGGAAGGGAGGCATTAGCAGGTGGAGGAGAAGGGGTTCACCTGGCCAGGTAGCAGTGCACTGTACGTTCATCCCCATATCTCACTAACCCACACTCCTAACAGCGACTGAATGAGCACTTGCATTAGTTGAGACACTTAGGAGCCCCCAGTTTATTATTCATACATTGTGTGCATAAAGAAGTAGTCCATTTTCAGTATATCAATATAAATGAGGCCCAGGACACATTATGTAGGTATAAACATGATGTCACAGCCTTCTTTTTAAAGAATGTTTAATAGAGAGGCCACAAGTGCGTAAAATTAGTAATAAAGTGGGAGATTAAGATGAGGATTATTATCCGCAGATGATCAACAGGAATTTAGGCTGTCTATGTGTTATTGACTTCCACATATCACCGTTGATTCCCTGGGGTCCTCCTTGCGTACAAATCTATATTCCTTGCAATAAGTGAATATTGTGTTAAAGAAAACACAATTTAAAGGGCTTTCATGTCTCATTTATTCTTCTAGTGGAAAGTGCATAAGTCTAGACCTCTGAAGAAAGGTAAAAATGTGCCTCACTCAAATGCTTACTATGGAGGAGGAAGAACAGAGAACATACTGTAAGAACACAAAAAAGGCTGAATGCCTTCCTCTCATTTGTAGGCTTTCTAGCTCATTTGATTTTGATCTAAGGAGCTGCCAAACAAAGAACCACCACAAACCTTGTTTTCAAGTAAAAAGCATGCATATTTTTTTCTGTGATGGCACATTTTAGAACTAAATTAAATAGAACAGTAAATTGGCTGGGTTTACAGTATATAATCAGGTACTAACTAAGGGCTCAAAGCTTACACCACCACAACAACTGCAAATTTGAACCTGCAGTATGTTCTTTTATTAAGGTTTCTACTAAATTCAGAAAGGAAATGTCTGCCATACACAAATTTCTTGTGTAGAAAAAACACAATCCGGATTTGTGCCTAAAATTCTTTCTATATTCCTTAGAAATTGCATACTTATATATGCAATCTATTTCCATTACTGTAAAACATACTGTACAGTATGCATTTAGTCATCTAAGAAAAGTGCATTATATTACTAGAAGATGGCTGTTTAGAAGATTTATGGTGATTTATCAAATACACAAAAACTTTTTCTGACCTTAAAAGTGTTTGTTGGGAACTGCTTCCAATTCATACAGTATTATATAATCCCGATACAGCCACACACACTCACGGTAGTGCACCAGAATTCAGCACACTGCTTTCACTTTTTT